GAATGTTGTCTATTTACTGCTTCAGCCGCACTTGGTTCTTTAGTAAGTTTTAACGTAAATGTAGACTGGATTTTTGATCTCAAAATGATGAATGGTCTAAAACTTTTAGGCAACCTTCGTGAAAACTTACTAAAAAGCTGTTTTTATTTATTTATTTAGACTAAAACAACAGCTGAAAATCGCAAGTAACTTTTAAATCTAGCAGAGATTAAATACATATTACAAGCCAAAACCATATTGTCCAGTCTAAACACTTCTAAATACCAAAAATTCACAATAACAAAACTTAATATGGAAGAAAAACAAGACAGAGGAATTCTTCAAAAATAAACCTTTACAATGATGAATACATTGTTCAAGTACTGGTAAAGGTGTGCAAGAATTATGTACATTTATGAGACCCAAAATTTGCGACAAAAATAATTATGACTACTTAAATTGTGTTCATTATAGCAGTGGCAAATGCCTTTTACAAATACGCTGATATGAAATGCCCTAAGATAATAGATATCAATTGTACACAAACATGTTTGAAGTTCCAATATATTGCCAAACAAAAACGCTGTTTAAACATGAACCGCCTTAACGAAGTGAGTGATAGAATTAATGAAAATATCATTAAAAAAAATAATAGGCCGAGACACCATGAAAAGCAAAAAGACCGTTCAAAAAATAAAAAATAAAAAAATAAATAAAAAAATTAAGCCTCTCTTACCTCATCTTCATTTTCTGTAACGTCAGTTGTTGTCATGCTCGAGCCAAAAAGAAAACTGCGCTCCTTTTTCATAGTCCCACCAGCAGGAAGCGTGTTTTCATTATACGAGCTCACAAACTTAAAATCGCTGGTGCGCGAGCCTGTGGTTAGATACGCGTCATAATTATAAGAGCTGCGGAGAGTTCCTGCTCCATCCACCTCTGCATAGTTGGGAGGGAGATAGGCGCTGGGAACAGCAACTGCTCCATCAAACAACAGTCTGGGCTTTCTCCTGTGACAAAACTTCACTGCCACGATCAGACTATAGAGACCAATTGAGAAAAGTCCAGGATCAGTAGATTTGACAATCTGATAGGACAGCCATGCATTCTGTCCAGAGTCAGCATCTACAGCGATCACCTTGGACACCAGAGAGCCTGAGAGAGTCGCTTTAGGGACCATTTCAGTCATTAAAGACTTTCCATCAGGAACAGGGTATAATATCTGTGGATAGCTATCATTCTCATCTGTTATGAAGACTTTCACAGTCACGTTACTGCTGAGCGGTGGAGATCCATTGTCTCTGGCAACAACTTTGACAGTGAAGTTTCTGAACTGCTCATAGTCAAATGATCTTACGCTGTAGGACAGCTGTTCAAATACAGGAGGATTGTCATTCACATCTGAGATAAGTAAATGAATTGTCAAGGAGGTGGATAATGGTGGAGATCCCCCATCTGTGGCAGTGATGGTAATGTTATAATCACTCTTTGTGTTTTGATCTCTCCACTATAGAGACCAATTGAGAAAAGTCCAGGATCAGTAGATTTGACAATCTGATAGGACAGCCATGCATTCTGTCCAGAGTCAGCATCTACAGCGATCACCTTGGACACCAGAGAGCCTGAGAGAGTCGCTTTAGGGACCATTTCAGTCATTAAAGACTTTCCATCATGGTAATGTTGTAATCAGATTCTTTCTCTCGGTCTAGAGCTTTTGTAGTCACTAGAGTGAAATAGTTTTTAACAGATGGGTTCAGTTTGAACGGAACATTTTTCTGAACAGAGCAACGAATCTGCCGGTTTTCTTCTGAGTCTTTGTCTTGAACATTAATGATTCCCACCTCAGTGCCTGGCTCAGAGTTTTCAGGTAATGGTTTATTCAAAGATTTAAGAATGATTCTAGGTGGATTATCATTAACATCAGTTACATCTATTATAATTTTAGCAGTTGATGCCAATCCCGATGCATCTTTAGCTTGAATTCCCATTTCATAGTTTATTTCACTTTCATAATCAATTTCTCCAGCCACCACAATTTGTCCCGTTGTCTTATCAATAGAAAATAATTTTGCAGTTTTCTCTGACATTCTGCTGAATTCATACATCACTTCTCCATTTGGACCTTCATCAGCATCAGTGGCGCTCACTCTGATTATTTCTGTTCCTGAAGGTGTATTTTCAGCCAGAGTGACTTTATAGACAGACTCACTAAACACTGGGACATTATCATTAGCGTCGAGAACAGTGATGTGTATGACAGCAGTGCCAGACCTCTGCGGTGAACCACCATCAGTGGCTGTGAGTATCATATCTATCTCCTTCTGCTGCTCACGATCCAACTCTTTTTCCAAAACGAGTTCAGCGTATTTTCCTCCATCTGCAGTATCATGGACATTCAAAACAAAATGTTTATTTTTCTCCAGTGAATAGCTGTTAATAGAATTTTGTCCAATATCCGTGTCATGTGCCTCATCCAAGCGAAATTTCTGGCCTTTAACTGCTGATTCTGTAATTTCAAAATTAATACGTTCATTTGGAAATCGTGGTGCGTTGTCATTTATATCCTGAATTTGCAGAATTATTCGGTGCACTTCAAGAGGGTTTTCCAGGACGAGCTCATAACTGAGAATGCAGGACATTCGAGATCCACAAAGCTCCTCTCGGTCTATTGTCTCTGCCACGATTAAATCACCAGTATTCAGATTAACATCACAGTACCGTTTGCTGTCCTCCGTGTCTATCCGAGCATTACGAGCAGACAATTGTTTCACATCCATTCTGAGATCCTTGGCTATATTTCCAGTTACATACTGGCGCTTCATTTCTTCCGGAATATTGTAGCTCAGATCATCGCAGACGGTTCTCAGAGCAAAGAGAATGAGAGCAACGAAATACGTAAAAAAAGGAACTGAAAATAGCCCGTGTTCCATTTTTGAAGATTTGATGTTGCACCTTCTCAACAGTAAACGAATCTTAGAAATATGTTATAATAATTCTATCTGTGTCGACGGACTGTTACTCCATTTTGTGCGGCGTTTATTCTAACAGACAGATCTCTTGTTGCATACATTACAAATGGGAGGAGAGACGCATCACTTTGCAGACTTAGTGAATAGCGACACTGTGAGTATTTTTCTGTTAACTGCAACACTCAAATGTTTAATGAAAGGACTACAGTGATAAACTAAGTGACGTGTCATATTTGACAAGGCGTATTATTGTAAAAAATAGTTTGCATAAATTTGTAGCTATATTTATATTGGGAAGGAACTGAAAATTGTCACGCAATCAAAGATAAACTATAGACAGTTCTGGCGCTGTCCAGGCTTCTGGTGCTGAAACTGGATGACCTGACAGACACTGGACGAAAATTAAAAATGAACTTAACTTCATATTCATATTAAATGGAAGGGTAAACCCGTTTTACAAGAAAATGGATGACTGTTCTCTATTTACTGCTTCAACTACACTTAGTTCTTGAGTAAGTTTTAACGTAGATGTAGATTGTATTTTTGAAATCAAAGTGATACATGTTCTAACACTTTTAGGCAATCTTCGTTAAAACTTACTAAAAAGCTAAGTTTTTTTAAAAAGACTAAAACAACAACTGAAAATCGCAAGTAACTGTTAAATCTAGCAGAGATCAAATACACATCACAAGCCAAAACCATATTGTCCAGTCTAAACACTTTTAAATACCAAAAATTCACGCTAACAAAACTTAATTTGGAAGAAAAACAAGCCAGAGAATTTCTTAAAAAATAAACCTTTATATTGATGAATGCAGTGTTCAAGTACTGGTAAAGGTGTGCAAGAACCATGTAAATTTATGAGACCCCAAAAAATTGTGGCATAAATAATCAGGACTATTTAAATTGGGTTCATTATAGTGGCAAATGGCTTTTACAGATACGCTGATATGAAATGCCCTAAGAGAGAGAGAGGATATCAGTTTTATACAAACGTGTGAGGTTTTCGTAAATTACCATACAAAATGTTATTTGAACAGGAACCGCCTTAATAAAGTGGATAATATAATTAATTCAAAAATTATTTTAAAAAAAGTATAATAAGCCGTCACCATGAAATGCAAAAAGACAGTACAAAAAAGTAAAGCCTCTCTTACCTCATCTTCATTTTCTGTAACGTCAGTTGTTGTCATGCTCGAGCCAAAATGAAAATTGTGCTCCTTTTTCAGAGTCCCACCAGCAGGAAGCATGTTTTCATTATACGAGCTCACAAACTTAAAGTCGCTGGTGCGGGAGCCTGTGGTTAGATACGTATCATAATTGTAAGAGCTGCGGAGAATGTCTCGTTGTGTTTTGATCTCTCCACTATAGAGGCCAATGGAGAAAAGTCCAGGATCAGTAGATTTGACAATCTGATAGGACAGCCATGCATTCTGTCCAGAGTCAGCATCTACAGCGATCACCTTGGACACCAGAGAGCCTGAGAGAGTCGCTTTAGGGACCATTTCTGTCATTAAAGACTTTCCATCAGGAACAGGGTATAATATCTGTGGAGAGTTATCATTCTCATCTGTTATGAAGACTTTCACAGTCACGTTACTGCTGAGCGGTGGAGATCCATTGTCTCTGGCAACAACTTTGACAGTGAAGTTTCTGAACTGCTCATAGTCAAATGATCTTACAGCATGAATCACCCCTGTATCTCCATTAATAGATAGAAATGAGGACACTGGGACCCCACTGACTTCACTGGGAACCACAGAGTACAGTACAGTCCCGTTCTGTCTCCAGTCTGGGTCATTTGCACTGACAGAACAAACAGAAGTGCCTGGTCTGTTATTTTCACTTATATAAACACTGTAGGACTGCTGCTCAAATGCAGGAGGATTGTCATTCACGTCTCCGACAAATAATCTAATAGTTTTAGATGACGTTAAGGGCGGGGAACCCTCGTCAGTAGCTGTAATCGTGATATTATATTCAGATTCTCTCTCTCGGTCCAACGCTTCCGCTGTTACTAATGCAAAGTGGTTCTTAATTGATGGTATTAGTTTAAAGCGATCGTTATGCTGAATAAAACATTTAATATTTCCATTAGATTCTGTATCTTTGTCCTGCACGTATATAACGGCAACTTCTGTACCCACAGTCGCATCCTCCATAAGCGGCGTTTTAAGAGATTTAATCATGATAAAGGGAGCATTATCATTAACATCACTGATGTCTACCACTACTTTAGAAGTGGCTGCTAGACCAGCTCCGTCTTTTGCTTTAACTCGAATCTCAAACGAAGGACTGTCTTCAAAGTCTAATGACCCTTTAATTGTTATATCACCCGATGCTGGGTCTATTGAAAAAATAGGTTTTGCATTCACTGGCATATGACTAAATTCATAAGTAACATCTCCGTTTGCTCCTTCATCAGCATCACTGGCACTCACAGTAACCACAACTGAGTCTACCAGAAGGTTTTCAGGGACACTCACCTTATAGACTGGCTGAGAAAAAAATGGTTTATTATCATTAATGTCCAAAACGCGGATTTGTATAACTACAGTGCCTGATTTCTGAGGATTGCCCCCGTCATAAGCTGTCAAAATGAGAGAATGCTTGTCTTGTTTTTCACGGTCCAGTTCATGCTCCAACACTATTTCTGCATATTTCCCAGTTTCAGCACTAGTCTGTACAGCTAAACTGAAATGCGGGTTATCTGAGAGTCTGTAACCTTGTACTGAATTTATTCCACTGTCCGGGTCCGCAGCCTCGTCTATGGAAAACCGAGACCCTTTATCTGCGGACTCTGGGATATCTAACTTTACCTCACTGTGGGGGAAGGCCGGGTTGTTGTCGTTTATGTCTTGAATCTCCAGAGTTATACGGTGTAGTTCAAGCGGGTTTTCCATGAAGAGATCAAAAGATAATGTGCACAAAGGTTTTTGTCCGCAGAGCTCTTCTCGGTCAATCCTTTCATTTATAACCAATTCCCCATTCTGCGCGTTGATTTCACAATAGCGTTTTTTTCCATCAAACTCAATCCTTGGCTCCCGTGATGAAAATGTATTCCTATCGACTCCTAAATCCTGCACAAGTTTGCCGACCACTGACCCTCGCTTCATTTCTTCTGGAAAGGAATAACGAATATCTCCCAAGCATAATGAAACGGCGAACGAATAAAGGACAATGGCTTTCCACACCGATCGCCGCGACGCATATGCTGCAGTGCATTCCATTCTAAGTAAACGTGAAGGAGATTCTTAAAGACAATTTCATAGGCCTATTACTAAGACATATATTGTCCTCAGACACAAACAGCAGTGGTATGAACATGAGAAGTGTGATCTGAAAATAGAATGCAAAGCAAATGGGTGGACCGATGAACAAATACCCAGCACAGATCAACAGCGACACACTGCGTAGTGTGAAAAAATCTACAGGCAAAATGTTACACTCGTCAGTGAACTTATTTCATTTTTAAAGATAAATTTCTAAAGGCACCGTAGTCTACAACTCTTTCAGGATGTTGAAAATGATCATGTGAAATTTGAATAACACAAGGCTCAGGAGCAGACAGAGGCGCCGATACTTTGATTTATTTTGTTACAAGAAGATACAACTAGTAGCGGTTTTCCTCACACTAACAATAGTGGAAATCAAATGGAATGCATTCTAGAATTTGGAAGAAGAAATAATTTCTATTAAAATATCAAAGGAAGAAAACATAATCAGTTCAAACGCATTTTAAGGACTTAAGGGCATCATCGTCATCGTTTTTTTTTTAAAGCTGTGTTTCTGAGTCACAATACAGACAGGCAATATTTAAGGATTAAAACAGATATTTACCTCTGTACACTCTCCTTCGTCAGACAGGCGCAACATATTAGAATCGATGTCACTCCTTATCAGAGTCCCACCAGCAGGAAGTGTGTTTTCATTATATGAGCTCACAAACTTAAAGTCACTGGTGCGCGAGCCTGTGGTTAAATACGTGTCATAATTGTAAGAGCTGCGGAGAGTTCCTGCTTCATCCACCTCTGCATAGTTGGGAGGCAGATAGGCGCTGGGAACCGCAACTGCTCCATCAAACAACAGTCTGGGCTTTCTCCTGTGACAAAACTTCACTGCCACGATCAGTATGATGAACGTCAGGAAGAAGGTGGACAAAGAAACTAATGCAATGATTAAGTAGGACGTTAATTTAGAGTTGTTGTCCTTATAAGTCATATCTTTAAGTTCAGGAACTTCAGAAAGGTTGTCAGAAATTAGTAAATTTACAGCACAGGTTGTAGACAGAGAGGGCTGCCCGTTGTCCTTCACTGAAATAACGAGGCTCTGCTTCATATTGTCAGATTCAGAAATATCTCGTTGTGTTCTGATCTCTCCACTATAGAGACCAATGGAGAAAATTCCCGGATCCGTAGATTTGACAATCTGATAGGACAGCCATGCATTCTGTCCAGAGTCAGCATCTACAGCGATCACCTTGGACACCAGAGAGCCTGAGAGAGTCGCTAAGAAACTAATGCAATGATTAAGTAGGACGTTAATTTAGAGTTGTTGTCCTTATAAGTCATATCTTTAAGTTCAGGAACTTCAGAAAGGTTGTCAGAAATTAGTAAATTTACAGCACAGGTTGTAGACAGAGAGGGCTGCCCGTTGTCCTTCACTGAAATAACGAGGTTCTGCTTCATATTGTCAGATTCAGAAATGTCTCTTTGTGTGAACCCCATTGACTTCACTGGGAACCAGAGAGTACAGTACAGTTCCGTTCTGTCTCCAGTCTGGGTCATTTGCACTGACAGAACAAACAGAAGTGCCTGGTTTGTTATTTTCACTTATATAAACAGCATATGTCTGTAACTCAAATGTAGGGGAGTTGTCGTTGATGTCTGAAACTTGTATGTTCAGAGTTAGATTCGAGAATAAGGGGGGTGTACCTCCATCCGTTGCTGTTATTGTTACATTATAATTTTCGATTTGCTCCCGATCAAGCGAACGAGTTGTAGTGATAATGAAATAAGACTTGATGTACGGCTGTAGTTGAAATGGCAGACTTGAAGAAATGGAACAACTAACCCGGCTGTTTTCACCGGAATCTTGGTCCTTCACGTTTATTACAGCGATCTCTGAACCGGGTGGGATGTTTTCTGGGATTTGGTTTTTCAGAGACTTTACTGATATAACAGGCGTGTTATCATTTATGTCATCTATTTCAATAACAACTTTACAGTGGCCTGTCTGACCTCCACCGTCCTCCGCCTGCACTTCCATCTCGTACGACGAGGACTTCTCGTGGTCCATCTGTCCAATTACAGATATTTCTCCATAATTTTCGTCAATTTTAAACAATTCTTTTGTGTTGTCAGATAGGTGATTGATATAATACGTTATTTGTCCATTTGCGCCCTCATCCACATCGGTCGCAACAATTTTGATGACAGACGTTCCGAGTGCTGCATTTTCGAATAAACGAGTGTTGTACAAAGGCTGCGAAAATACTGGTGCATTATCATTCACGTCTATCACGAACACTTCAATAACAACAGTTCCAGATTTAGGAGGATTTCCCCCATCCACCGCAGACAATATTAAGGAATGTTCTCCTTTTGTCTCTCTATCCAGGCTGTTTTTCAAAACAATGTCCACATACCTGTCTTTATTTGATTTTGTATCAAGAACAAAATATTTGTTTTGACTAAGCATGTAGGTCTGGACTGAATTCATTCCAACATCCAAATCGCGTGCACAAGCTATTTGTAATTTACTTCTGGTAGGTGCTGCTTCGCTTATTTCTAGCTTAATTGAATCTTTGGGGAAAACAGGAGGGTTGTCATTGATATCCTTGACCTCCAAAACAACGTTATGAAGCTCTAAAGGATTTTCAAGAATAAATTCAAAGTGCATGAGGCAGGGGGAGGTCGTTCCGCACAGCATCTCTCGGTCGATCCTTTCTGAAACAACAATATTTCCAGAATCTAAGTCTACTTCACAATATCTTTTATCCCCTCGGTAATCCAAACGGGCTTTGCGAAACCTCAAGCGATCGGAATCCAAATTAAGGTCCTTACTTAGACTTCCAATAAAATATTTTGTCTTTGTTTCCTCCGGCACAGAATAACGAACATCAGCAGAGGCCATGCAAAAGAGAAGCGATGTTATCCATAATCGCCATTTGGCCAAACGCAGTTTAGACATTTTCGCCATATTTTCTTGGTGTAATAAAGTAAAGCGTTGTTTCGAAACGCTTTTCACAAACAACCGATTTATGACGTCGTCGTCCGCACTGCTCTTTCGGACAAATGTTAACAGAACAGAAAGATACCCGCACCAATGGGTGTGTTCTTATGCCCTAAAACAGCAGAGTTAGTCAACAGCGACGCTGTGTGGTTGAATTGAGTTTAGGTTTAGTCTGTGAGGTTTATTTCATGGTGAGCAGATGCCCCATAATTACAGAGTTTTTTTTTTTTTGTAATGCAGGTTTAAATCCACTGTTTTATTCTTAGCTGGTATGTCACAGATAACCCTGAAATAGTATTCTTTCCTAAAAAGAAGACCTGGTTAATACAAACCCCTAAATATACACGAAGTATTTCCGTATAATCTCTACTAATATGAGATTATAGACTTTGTTTTAATTCAAACTGTTTGTGAGCATTTATATGGATAAAGAGTCATTTGTTTATAATTATTTTTTAGCGCATGTATAGATGTAGTTCATGCCAGCTTCGCACACCAAAAACTGGCGCATATTTTCAGCACCATGGACAGCGCCTCCGTATAGTCGTGGAACAAGGCAGCTGAAATAGAAAGCCCAACTTCAGATACAGGCTAAAATGTCCGTTGAATAAAATTTGATTTGGAAAGGTATTCCATATTCAGTATACTGAAATTAAATTATAAATGATTGTTTTAAAGAAAATAGAGTATGCATAGTTAAGAAAGAGAGAGAGAGTACCAATTAAGCCTAAAATAGAAACAATAATAAAAGAATAACTGCACTACATTTGCTAACTGATAAAATGGAAAATAAACAGCCTATTTCTACTGTATTGAACTTGAACTGCACACATCTGGTATCCTGTGTTACAGTCAGCAGCCTACATCTAATGTACATTTTAATAGAAATTTTCCAAGTTCAATGCCTCGCCTTTGTGTGTGTGTGCACCAAACGTAAATATTACGTCAGAATGTTGCATAAAAATCAAATGCGCCCCGAAAGATGGCAGTTTCAATGCACATATTATTATACTCCACTATTTTATCATATTTACACTCAAAAGTTCTGGGCTAAAAACACTGCAACAACAGTGAAAAGAGCTCAGCAGAGGTTGTATTTCATCAGACTGTTGAAGAAGGCCAGACTTAGATGTCAGCCCCTCATCTGTGTCTATAGAGGCCTCGTCGAGAGTATTCTTACCAGTGGTATTTTAGTGTGGTAAGGCAATACTACCCTGGCTGAGAGGAAATCACTGTAACGGGTCATAAAAACTGCAGAGAGGGTTATTGGCTCTAACCTCCCTCCTATGGACTCTATATATACTCAACGTTGCAGACGGAAAGCACAGAGCATCCTCAAGGATAAACATCACCCAGCTCATGATCTGTTTAAATGGGTGGATATGGGCTACAACCTGAGACACAGCAGGCCTGTGAGTATTAGTACTCACAGGGCCCGTTTGTACAAGAGCTTCTTTCCAGCCACTTTTATGTTAGTGGCACAGGACATCAAGGAGGGAAAGAAGTATCCCATCCCATAACTCTCTCTTACTTTGGAGGACTAGTACTTTCTATCTCACCTGTCTATGGACCCATGGACAGATATTTGTGTCTCCTATGGTTTCCCCATAGGATCCCCCCCCCCCCATATAAAGCTTGACTCTGCGAAACAAACAAGAATTCCAATGTACCTGTACTACAATGTACCTGTGCAAATGGCAATAAAATTCAAATTAAATTAAATTAAAGTTTAGCCGTTCAAATTTGCATTTTGCATTACTTCAAATAATTTCTGACCCAAACACGCAAACTTCATTTAATACTTGTATTTCATTCCTTGGAGAACAATAACATTGGTTTGTTTCAGAAGATTTATGATTTGTGCAGGTGAAACGTTCAGGTCCGCCTTCTTTGAATAGTCACTGAAAATCTTGCAATAGAATGCTCAGTCAAGTTACCACATGCACTGCCACTGTAAGCTGGGAACCAGTTTAATGACAAATATCCAGCTGGTAAAAAGTGTTAGGTTAGCACATTCGATGTTTAAGATAAAATGCATGTGAGGTCATGTTATTTTTAGAGTAGAAGATGAACAAATATTTAATATAGACTATTATTCAGGCCAATGCTGTTTACTAACAATATAGACAGGCAAAATATAAACCACAGATAAATCTCCAATACTTATGAAAGAAAACTTTATTTGTGATTTATAAACAAAACACATTACCAGATTTCATAAAGTAATATAAAATAATAAACACCATTACACTGATGAGCAGGTGTACAAAAAAATGTCCAACAGATTTGCAGTCAAAGTCAAAAGCATAGTGCCACTTAGGCACTGGATGAATTGATATATAATTACTACACACAAGCAGAATACATAGACCTTTTTATTTCCTGTTTTATCATTTTTGATTTTTTTTTTCTTTTTTCTTTTTTTGAAAGGAGAGGTTTATATCATAGGGAAATATGAACTGGCTCACACTACAGTGTTATTGATTTCAAAGCCTAGCACAAAATGAAGGATTGATCCTTTCAAGTTGCAAAAATCATAAGGTTGTAAAGAAAAGCAGTTTAGACCAAAAACACTACAGCATTACATATAGCTAGTATGTTAATGTTAACGTTGATTGCCACAGAGCCGACATCGTTTTGGTGTCTTCTTTTTACGCTCTATGCATGTATGTAATCAGTGTATGTTTGTGTATGAATAATTTGATTAATGTCTACATACTTCAGCAGAGACGATACTCATCTCCAGTTTCATCATAAATGAGAAAAAAAATAATTATGAAAAACATCTGTTCATTTATATCTATATATAATTTCTGTTTTAATTGCGTTTAACATGCAAAACAGTCACTTGGTGATCTGACAGCACTGAACCACATCTGAAAGAGACTCAAGTGAAAGTGTGTGTGTATATGTATGTGTTTGTGTGTGTGCTTTGTGATGATACGGTCTCATAGCAGCACGAACATCTCTCCTTTACTGAACAGTATCTCTACAGACTTAGAAGGGAAAGAAAGGACAGATGCGCTCCCTCTTAAAAACAGAAAATTTAAGCATGATGTCTGAATGTTAAGAAAACATTCCCATTATTTACAAAATTGTTATCAACAACTATGGAACTGTCATGAAGCTATATCTCATCATTGATTATATACAGTAGAAAAACTCTCTACTGCCCACCACTGTGGTCTAATTTCCACTCAACTTCTATTTTTGCCATAGAAAGCACCATATGCTGTAGTTAAACATGTCCATAATCATGGCTGCATAGTCCATGGTGGTTCAACTGCTGTGAGAGCATAAACACTGGTGTGTCTTGAGTGTATGTGTGCATGTAGTGGCCAGTACCTGTGCTCATGTTTCCAGCAGAAGAAGTGACAATAATATTAACTTGATTTTCTGCTCTTTCTTGTTACATTGTACAATACGAGCCACCAGGGGGCAGTACTGACATGGGGCCAGCAATGCACACCAGATAAAGGGAGGTTGGCAACATCAGATATGCGAAAGTTACAAGCAGTAGCTAAGGACAAGTAGCTGGACTAAGACATAAAGCTGTCAAGAAGTGGGATGACATCTATCAAACATTAAAAACAGCAGCAAAGGAAGTGGGTGTGTTTTGAAATGAAGCCACAAGTATTCATTCTGCTATTTTACAGACTTTTGAGAGGCTGTTGTGCTTCAGTCCTGTGGTGATTTTAGGTGTACAGCATGTGGACAGCCTGTTCATAGTGTGTTATGCATTAGAGAGCAAGAACACACATCAATTTGTGATTTGTATTCATACAAATCATGGGTGTGGACTGTATAAGATGAGATTTACTTGCTCTTAGAAAATATACTGAGTAAAGCATCATTCTGAGATTTCAGCATTACTTTGGGAGCAGGACAGAAGCACTAGAGATCTCTGTGCCCTGTTCTAGGACGTATTTGTGAGTGTAAAGCAAGTGATTTCGCTACTACATTTCCATCTCTGTAGGCGTCTATTTTTGATCTCCTCTAGAAATCAGACACTGGTCTTTCTGATAAAGTTGTAGTGTCTTTTTGTTTCCAGCGGATCAAGGAGTGAGGCGGGGCCAGGGGTGGTTGTTTCTTCCCCATTTGACATTGAGGGAGGAAGGCAGGGATGGAGTTAGAGAAAACTCTTGGTATGGCATGAGTTCATATCCAGTTTAACTGGATTCATTTGATACTTTTAAAAGAGGAGAGGGACTTCCCTCATTGTGGTTGAAAATGTCATTTACAAGGTGCGAGTGGGCTTGGTTTGCATTTTGCAGACTGGAGTTCTTTCTTGGACATCGCTGTTTAATTTCTGCGCCAGAACTAGAAAAATAGCCAATCAGAGTAACAGGTTCACAGGGTTAATTTTAAATTTCTCTTCTTTCTTCAACTGGAATTGGTAAATAAGGTATATAGAAGGAACTTCTCTCTTTACATTTTCAGTATTTTTGGTTTTCTCTTTCTGTCAGCATTTGCTACAAACATAAGTTAATAGCTGTAATATTGTAGTGGGACGTTCTTTGCTACTCCTCGCCATCATCTTTTCCTTTATCTTTCTTGTCCTTCTTTTCCTTCTTCTTCTTTTTCTTCTTCTTAGACTCCTCTTTCTTTCCGAAGGTGATGAACTCACCCTTATCATCAACGGCACCTGGGTCCTGCCGGATGGAGATGATGGCAGGAGAGCCGGGAATAATGAAGGCTTCAGGGGGGATCTCTCCCGGCTTCAGGGCTTGTGGAGGACCGTAGCCGGGGCCTGCACCGTAGCGGAAGCTCCAGCTGTTACTGTTGATTCCAGCTCCAACAGGAGGGGACAGCTGTCCCTCTCCCTCCCCATCTGAGTGAGAAAAATTACAGTGATTAGACTGTCATCATTACTTTCCTCATATAAACCAAGATATTGTGTTGCCTAATGGATCAAAAGTCAGGTTTAAAACCAAAAATACAAGCCCTAAATTTATAGTAGATGAATTAATTTTTATATATTTTTGGGGAGACAGAAACGTCAGAGTGATACAACTTGTCCTGATGTTATAACAAACCAAATGAAATCTTATTAAAGAACGAAAGTCTTGAAATGAAAAAGTTTGGCAGGGTTAATTGCAGTTGTAAAATGTAATATGGTGTGACTCCCCAAAAATTTATAATAATATATTTATTATTAATAATTCATGACGTAAATAGATGAATGAATGAATGAATGAATGAATGAATGAATGAACGAATGAACGAACGAACGAACGAACGAACGAACGAACAAATGTTATTGCTTTTAACTTCATGGTTACACAACATAAGTCTCTGCATTTAAACTTTTCTTAAAAACACTTTATTTCTTGGCACATGTATAATATAATATAATATAATATAATATAATATAATATAATATAATGTAATGTAATGTAATGTAATGTCTTTTTTCTAGAGATGTATGGCAAAAAGTATTTGCACCAAAACCCTGATTGGAGAAGCACGTTGGTTTTCTTTATTTAACACTGATCTAAACCTACAAATAATACACACAGAGAGGGACACTGGATCACTCTGGAGTGCACTTTCATACAATGTTCATGTTTGAAAGTGTACTACCCCAACAGGGACATAGAGCTGAGTCAGGTGTGAGAGACTTATGTACTACTTTCCCTACAGAAACAGGGCTCTTTGCCACACCAGTTACTCTATGACCTACTTTCATTTCTGTGTTTTATTTAGATCTCACCATGGCCCTGAAATGCAATTCTGTTTTTTTTGATCTGTACGTTTATTATGACAGTACCGCACGGCTTATTTCAATAAATGCAAAACCTAGCAGGGATGATCCATTTTGATATTCTTTCCTCGGCTTAAATGAATCTGCATGGGTGGATTGTGCGTCTATGTGTGTGCGCAACAGCTAGACTAAATTAGAAATCTGTTCTCCTGCTCAGTTTCAGGAACATGTCTAAATTTAGACACGTCAAATCCTGCAATTAATATGCAAACTGCTCTTTTTTTCTGTGTCTACTGATCTATTATGTATAATCTTGACCATCCCAAAAATATACCACCTCTCTGTCCATACAGAACAGTCATGGTAAACAGATGGTACAGAAAAGAGTCAATGAGGAAGTTTACACGCACACGTTCACAGAAGCACTGTGTGCCGCCCCCTGGGCTTGACAGATCACATTTGGCTGAGAAGGTTAGAAATTGTGGTTTAGAGTGGTAGCATTTACTTGCAGAGTGGTCAGATCTCTAGTGAGAGAGTAACTCATATGTTCATGTGTTAGTCACACCTCACTCCATCTCCCTGTGGCTTTCATTATGGCAGCAATATCAGTGCATGTGTGTGTCTGTGTGTTAAGTTTCATGTCAGAGCAGGTCAACTGAGCAGACTAGTTTTTGTCCTCATGAGACTAAAGAGAAAATCAGCAGAGTGGAGCTGGAAGCAACAGTCTAAAACTGACTTTCATTGCATTTCTCTCTTTGTTGTACAGGTCAGTGACAAAAATGTCCACATTCATATAGTTTTGAAAAAGTAGCCTACAATTTTCAAGAACTTTAAATTTTATGACTCTAAAAATAAACACAAAATAGTACAAATTTTTTTTTCTTCATATTTCCATTTGTTGGTTGCACCACATGACTTTGATTCTGCAAATGTTTTTCAACTGTTAATGAGCAGTGAAGCAGTTTTCTTAAAAAATAAATAAATAAATAAAAATAAATTCCCCAAAGAAATAAAATAAAAGATTATGACAAAATAGTTTTGGTTTTCTTTTTAAGAATTTTATTAATTTAATAAAGCTCTTTTTAGTATGATAACAGGATATTTGTCACATTGACACTCTGGGTTTATTCCAAATCCATTTTATTCTAGAAATTAAAAACATGTTCATCACAGAAGGTGTTTGTATGTTTGAAGTGCATTTTTTAAATGCATTTTTCAATAAATTACTATATTTTTGTATTCATTTTTTCATATGGTTAAATTTTTGTTACCATTTTCAAGAACTTTCAATTTAATGTCTCTAAAAATAAAAGAAAAAAATAATTATATTTTTGTCCCTGAATCTTTCTGCTTGTTGGTTGCACCACATGACTTCAATTCTGCTAACGTTTTTAAACTATTAATAAACAGTAAAGCAGTTTACTTATTATTTCATATTTTCTTTTATTTTTTCTCAGGATAGTTGTATCACTCTGAAACTCAGAATTTATGCCAAATTAATTTTATTCCAGAAAATAAAATTATGCTTATCATAGAGGAGATATTTTCAAGTCATTGTATATACAAATTGTATTTGTATGTACTTTTTAATTGA